GAAAGCAGCTAAATTGCTCACGTGAACGTGCCCGCAGTTCTTAACTGTGCCCCTGTCTAAGCTGCCTGAGCAGGAGGTGTGCCGTCCAGCCCTTCTCGTGGAACTGTTTGCGGGAAGACAGGAAGGTCTGGGTAAATAGCTGTCACCTCAGCAAATGCACATTGAAAAAACATCAAAACTCTTGTGTCTGCTATGCATTTTTCTACTGAAACATGTTAATTGAGGCTTTCAGTGAGAGTAACATTAATTTTACCTGCATTGTGTATGTTGTGGTGGATTTCAAAACAAGGTCCGGTTTTAATTAAGAACCACTAGTCAGAAGCACAGGATTTTTCCAAGCTTCCCTCGGCCCTGACCAGTCGCATTGTTCTGTTAGAAACACTTACACTGCTTCTTTGTGCCTGCTTCTCTTATGGTGCACACAACTACAAGGTGCACTCGACACAGCATCGGTGCCAACGGCCATCAACCCATGAGGACTGGTGGTCTATGCACAGACTCACTGCACATCCTCCTCGAACTTCAAACTCACACACAGAGCTAGGTGATACTCAGCTGGGCTACACTCATAGCCCAGGTACACTCGTATCTGGGCTACACTCACAACTGAACTACACTCACAGCCCAGACACACTCACAACCCAGATACACTCACAGCCCAGACACACTCACAACCCAGATACACTCACAGCCCAGATACACTCACAGCCCAGACACACTCACAGCCCAGATACACTCACAGCCCAGACACACTCACAGCTGAACTACACTCACAACCCAGATACACTCACAGCCCAGACACACTCATAGCCCAGATACACTCACAGCTCAGACACACTCAGCCCAGATACACTCACAGCTCAGACACACTCACAGCCCAGATACACTCACAGCTGAACTACACTCACAGCTCAGATACACTCACAGCCCAGACACACTCACAGCCCAGATACACTCACAGCCCAGATACACTCACAGGCCAGACACACTCAGCCCAGATACACTCACAGCCCAGACACACTCACAGCCCAGATACACTCACAGCCCAGACACACTCACAGCCCAGATACACTCACAGCCCAGACACACTCACAGCCCAGATACACTCACAGCCCAGACACACTCACAGCCCAGACACACTCACAGCCCAGACACACTCACAGCCCAGATACACTCACAGCCCAGACACACTCACAGCCCAGATACACTCACAGCCCAGACACACTCACAGCCCAGATACACTCACAGCCCAGACACACTCACAGCCCAGATACACTCACAGCCCAGACACACTCACAGCCCAGGTATACTAACAGCCCAGATACACTCACAGCCCAGACACACTCACAGCCCAGATACACTCACAGCCCAGATACACTCACAGGCCAGACACACTCACAGCCCAGATACACTCACAGCCCAGACACACTCACAGCCCAGACACACTCACAGCCCAGATACACTCACAGCCCAGACACACTCACAGTCCAGACACACTCACGGCCCAGACACACTCACAGCCCAGACACACTCACAGCCCAGACACACTCACGGCCCAGACACACTCACAGCCCAGATACACTCACAGCCCAGATACACTCACAGGCCAGACACACTCACAGCCCAGACACACTCACGGCCCAGACACACTCACGGCCCAGACACACTCACAGGCCAGACACACAGCCCAGATACACTCACAGCCCAGACACACTCACAGCCCAGATACACTCACAGCCCAGACACACTCACAGTCCAGACACACTCACGGCCCAGACACACTCACAGCCCAGACACACTCACAGCCCAGACACACTCACGGCCCAGACACACTCACAGCCACTACACTCGCAGGCCTTACAGTGACGCTGGTGTCACTCTGCCACCCTGGTGGCCTGCTCAGAGCTTTGTGTGGTCAGATCTGCTTCATGTCTCACTGTGTTGGGCGGTGCGTCATTGACAGCCCTACAGAGCCCGTAAGGCCTTTGACCCAACCCCGGCGTCCAGAGCGGATCCCAGCTCTGAAGGGAGCACTAAGCTCGGGGCAGGGGGGTCCTTGTGGACCCCTCCCCCAGCAGCTTCTCTGTGCGGTCCCCCTCACCGCTGGGCTGGGCTGGGCTGCGTTCCCCTCCATCCTCAGGACGGGGCTGGGCTGCGTTCCCCTCCATCCTCAGGACGGGGCTGGGCTGGGCTGCATTCCCCTCCATCCTCCGGGCTGGGCTGGGCTGCGTTCCCCTCCATCCTCCGGGCTGGGCTGGGCTGCGTTCCCCTCCATCCTCCGGGCTGGGCTGGGCTGCGTTCCCCTCTGTCCTCAGGACGGGGCTGGGCTGCGTTCCCCTCCATCCTCAGGACGGGGCTGGGCTGCGTTCCCCTCCATCCTCAGGACAGGGCTGGGCTGCGTTCCCCTCCATCCTATGGGCTGGGCTGGGCTGGGGTGCGTTCCCCTCCATCCTCCGGGCTGGGCTGGGCTGCGTCCCCCTCCATCCTCAGGACGGGGCTGGGCTGGGCTGCATTCCCCTCCATCCTCTGGGCTGGGCTGGGCTGCGTTCCCTTCCATCCTCTGGGCTGGGCTGGGGTGCGTTCCCCTCCATCCTCCGGGCTGGGCTGGGCTGCGTTCCCCTCCATCCTCTGGACGGGGCTGGGCTGTGTTCCCCTCCATCCTCAGGACAGGGCTGGGCTGCGTTCCCCTCCATCCTCAGGACAGGGCTGGGCTGCGTTCCCCTCCATCCTCCGGGCTGGGCTGGGCTGCGTTCCCCTCCATCCTCCGGGCTGGGCTGGGCTGCGTTCCCCTCCATCCTCCGGGCTGGGCTGGGCTGCGTTCCCCTCCATCCTCCGGGCTGGGCTGGGCTGCGTTCCCCTCCGTCCTCAGGACGGGGCTGGGCTGCGTTCCCCTCCATCCTCAGGACGGGGCTGGGCTGCGTTCCCCTCCATCCTCAGGACAGGGCTGGGCTGCGTTCCCCTCCATCCTCTGGGCTGGGCTGGGCTGGGGTGCGTTCCCCTCCATCCTCTGGGCTGGGCTGGGCTGCGTTCCCCTCCATCCTCAGGACGGGGCTGGGCTGGGCTGCATTCCCCTCCATCCTCTGGGCTGGGCTGGGCTGCGTTCCCCTCCATCCTCTGGGCTGGGCTGGGGTGCGTTCCCCTCCATCCTCTGGGCTGGGCTGGGCTGGGCTGGGCTGTGTTCCCCTCCATCCTCGGGGCTGGGCTGGGCTGTGTTCCCCTCCATCCTCTGGGCTGGGCTGGGCTGCGTTCCCCTCCATCCTCAGGACGGGGCTGGGCTGGGCTGCATTCCCCTCCATTCTCTGGGCTGGGCTGGGCTGCGTTCCCCTCCATCCTCTGGGCTGGGCTGGGCTGCGTTCCCCTCCATCCTCAGGACGGGGCTGGGCTGGGCTGCATTCCCCTCCATCCTCTGGGCTGGGCTGGGCTGCGTTCCCCTCCATCCTCTGGGCTGGGCTGGTTCCCCTCCATCCTCGGGGCTGGGCTGGGCTGCGTTCCCCTCCATCCTCAGGACGGGGCTGGGCTGGGCTGCATTCCCCTCCATCCTCTGGGCTGGGCTGGGCTGCGTTCCCCTCCATCCTCTGGGCTGGGCTGGTTCCCCTCCATCCTCGGGGCTGGGCTGGGCTGCGTTCCCCTCCATCCTCAGGACGGGGCTGGGCTGGGCTGCATTCCCCTCCATCCTCTGGGCTGGGCTGGGCTGCGTTCCCCTCCATCCTCTGGGCTGGGCTGGTTCCCCTCCATCCTCGGGGCTGGGCTGGGCTGCGTTCCCCTCCATCCTCAGGACGGGGCTGGGCTGGGCTGTGTTCCCCTCCATCCTCAGGACGGGGCTGGGCTGGGCTGCGTTCCCGTCCATCCTCTTTGCTGGGCTGGGCTGCGTTCCCCTCCATCCTCTGGGCTGGGCTGGGCTGCATTCCCCTCCATCCTCTGGGCTGGGCTGGGCTGTGTTCCCCTCCATCCTCTGGGCTGGGCTGGGCTGGGCTGTGTTCCCCTCCATCCTCTGGGCTGGGCTGGGCTGCGTTCCCCTCCATCCTCTGGGCTGGGCTGGGCTGTGTTCCCCTCCATCCTCTGGGCTGGACTGGGCTGTGTTCCCCTCCATCCTCTGGGCTGGGCTGGGCTGGGGTGTGTTCCCCTCCATCCTCGGGACAGGGCTGGGCTGGGCTGCGTTCCCCTCCATCCTCTGGGCTGGGCTGGGCTGGGTTGCGTTCCCCTCCATCCTCTGGGCTGGGCTGGGCTGTGTTCCCCTCCATCCTCTGGGCTGGGCTGGGCTGGGGTGTGTTCCCCTCCATCCTCGGGACAGGGCTGGGCTGGGGTACTATCTCTTCTGTCCTCAGGGCTGGGCTGGGGTGCGTTACCCTCTGTCCTCAGGACGGGGCTGGGCTGGGGTACTGTTCCCTCCATCCTCAGGGCTGGGCTGGGGTGGTGCATTCCCCTCCGTCCTCAGGGCTGGGCTGGGGTACTGTCCCCTCTGTCCTCAGGGCTGGGCTGACCTCTGGCAGGGACGGGGCGGATCCATTACTTGGAAGTGTCCACTCCGTGGCATGAGCAGGAGCCGCCGCTCCTTCTCAGGGAGGCCAGGCGTGCCCCAGGCAGGGCCCAGCACTGTCCTCTCCCCTGCCAGCACTTCATCCTAGCCGGCTGGGCCGTGGCTCGGCCCCAGCGTATGTCCGCGCTGGGATGAGCCTGAGCTGCCCGGAGCCGCCTGACCACATGGTGCTGACCACGCCGCCCGCGCGCACAGCCCGCCCCTGGCCTCGTGGGCTCCCCATCTGCACCTCTGTCCATGCCATCCTGGGAGCTCAGGAGGCGCTCAGAGAAGCGCTTCGGGCCTGCTGGCTGGCCGGAGGCTCGGGTCTGTGGGACCCTGCCGGCCCTGGGTGCCTGTGGGGGGCACGGGGTTTCCTAGCTGCATAGGGGCTGCCCCGCCTCCAAGCCCCCTCCTCCAGCCCCCTCCACCTGGCCACTTCCCACCACGGGCTCACCTGGTTTGCCGTATCTTGTCTCCACAGATGGACCATGACCCCAAGAGCCCCGCGTACATCGCCACCCAGGGACCGCTCCCCGCTACCGTGGCCGACTTCTGGCAGGTGAAATTTCTTAATTAAAAATTCTTCTCTGGAAAGAAAAGTCTAGTACTTTAGCCATGAATTGCACACTGGATTCCATTAAGTCATTTCAAAGTTCTAAGAGGTGGCCTTCAAATACTCCTTGATTTCAAAATTTATCCCAGTCCTTGAGTATCTTTAGCATCAAGCTTTTTGCTAAAGTTTTCAGAAAAAAAATCAGCAAAAGCTTGATTTTTTTAGGCACTTTACCGTTAATCTTACAAACAGAGGGAAATGGAATTGGTACGAGTTTAAATTATTAGATCTTATCCAACTGTGCCTCTTACGTATTGTTTTATTCTTATGAAGGTTTAAAATGTTGTTCAAATTATATTTCATCTATCTGCTTTGAAGAGTCGAAAGTGTATTTGAAGGTCAGGCTGATCTATCTCTTCATCTAGAGCAATCCTGAATGGCCCAGAGCAAGGTCTAGACATTAAGATCCATTAAGATCCTCGCTCAGAAGGGCAAAGCTGGGTGGACATATGGTCACCAGCCATCTGAGAAAGCTAAGCAGGAATGGGTTCTGGAAAGTTCCACATGGGGTACCTGCAGGAGCATGAGTTCACTCACTCAGTGGCAGTCACCACCTCCAGAGACAGAGGTGCCCTGAGACAGGTGCAGACAGCAGCCGTGAGCAGCCGTGGGGGTGGAGGAGGGCAGCCGTGGGGATGGAGGAGGGCAGCCGTGGGCAGCCGTGGGGATGGAGGAGGGCAGCCGTGGGGATGGAGGAGGGCAGCCGTGGGGATGGAGGAGGGCAGCCGTGGGCAGTGGGGATGGAGGAGGGCAGCCGTGGGGATGGAGGAGGGCAGCCGTGGGCAGCCGTGGGGATGGAGGAGGGCAGCCGTGGGCAGCCGTGGGGATGGAGGAGGTCAGCCGTGGGGATGGAGGAGGGCAGCCGTGGGGATGGAGGAGGGCAGCCGTGGGGATGGAGGAGGGCAGCCGTGGGGATGGAGGAGGGCAGCCGTGGGGATGGAGGAGGGCAGCCGTGGGGATGGAGGAGGGCAGCCGTGGGGATGGAGGAGGGCAGCCGTGGGGATGGAGGAGGGCAGCCGTGGGGATGGAGGAGGGCAGCCGTGGGGATGGAGGAGGGCAGCCGTGGGGATGGAGGAGGGCAGCCGTGGGGATGGAGGAGGGCAGCCGTGGGCAGCTGTGGGGATGGAGGAGGGCAGCCGTGAGCAGCCGTGGGGATGGAGGAGGGCAGCCGTGGGCAGCCGTGGGGGTGGAGGAGGGCAGCCGTGGGGATGGAGGAGGGCAGCCGTGGGCAGTGGGGATGGAGGAGGGCAGCCGTGGGGATGGAGGAGGGCAGCCGTGGGGATGGAGGAGGGCAGCCGTGGGCAGCCGTGGGGATGGAGGAGGGCAGCCGTGGGGATGGAGGAGGGCAGCCGTGGGGATGGAGGAGGGCAGCCGTGGGGATGGAGGAGGGCAGCCGTGGGCAGCCGTGGGGATGGAGGAGGGCAGCCGTGGGCAGCCGTGGGGATGGAGGAGGGCAGCCGTGGGCAGCCGTGGGGATGGAAGAGGGGCAGCCGTGGGCAGCCGTGGGGATGGAAGAGGGGCAGCCGTGGGCAGCTGTGGGGATGGAGGAGGGCAGCCCTGGGGATGGAGGAGGGCAGCCGTGGGCAGCGGGGATGGAGGAGGGCAGCCGTGGTCAGCCGTGGGGATGGAGGAGGGCAGCCATGGGGATGGAGGAGGGCAGCCCTGGGGATGGAGGAGGGCAGCCGTGGGGATGGAGGAGGGCAGCCGTGGGCAGCCGTGGGGATGGAGGAGGGCAGCCGTGGGGATGGAGGAGGGCAGCCGTGGGCAGCGGGGATGGAGGAGGGCAGCCCTGGGGATGGAGGAGGGCAGCCGTGGGCAGCGGGGATGGAGGAGGGCAGCCCTGGGGATGGAGGAGGGCAGCCGTGGGCAGCGGGGATGGAGGAGGGCAGCCCTGGGGATGGAGGAGGGCAGCCGTGGGCAGCCGTGGGGATGGAGGAGGGCAGCCGTGGGGATGGAGGAGGGCAGCCGTGGGGATGGAGGAGGGCAGCCGTGGGGATGGAGGAGGGCAGCCGTGGGGATGGAGGAGGGCAGCCGTGGGGATGGAGGAGGGCAGCCGTGGGCAGCGGGGATGGAGGAGGGCAGCCCTGGGGATGGAGGAGGGCAGCCGTGGGCAGCGGGGATGGAGGAGGGCAGCCGTGGGGATGGAGGAGGGCAGCCGTGGGCAGCCGTGGGGATGGAGGAGGGGAGCCGTGGGGATGGAGGAGGGCAGCCGTGGGCAGCCGTGGGGATGGAGGAGGGCAGCCGTGGGGATGGAGGAGGGCAGCCGTGGGCAGCGGGGATGGAGGAGGGCAGCCCTGGGGATGGAGGAGGGCAGCCGTGGGCAGCGGGGATGGAGGAGGGCAGCCGTGGGGATGGAGGAGGGCAGCCGTGGGGATGGAGGAGGGGAGCCGTGGGGATGGAGGAGGGGCAGCCGTGGGGATGGAGGAGGGCAGCAGTGGGGATGGAGGAGGGGAGTCGTGGGGATGGAGGAGGGCAGCCGTGGGGATGGAGGAGGGGCAGCTGTGGGGATGGAGGAGGGCAGCCGTGGGGATGGAGGAGGGGCAGCTGTGGGGATGGAGGAGGGGAGCCGTGGGCAGCGGGGATGGAGGAGGGCAGCAGTGGGGATGGAGGAGGGGAGCCGTGGGGATGGAGGAGGGCAGCCGTGGGGATGGAGGAGGGCAGCCGTGGGGATGGAGGAGGGCAGCCGTGGGGATGGAGGAGGGGCAGCTGTGGGGATGGAGGAGGGCAGCGGGGATGGAGGAGGGGCAGCCGTGGGGATGGAGGAGGGCAGCAGTGGGCAGCCGTGGGGATGGAGGAGGGCAGCCGTGGGGATGGAGGAGGGGAGCCGTGGGGATGGAGGAGGGCAGCCGTGGGGATGGAGGAGGGGCAGCCGTGGGGATGGAGGAGGGCAGCCGTGGGGATGGAGGAGGGCAGCCGTGGGGATGGAGGAGGGGAGCCGTGGGGATGGAGGAGGGCAGCCGTGGGGATGGAGGAGGGGCAGCCGTGGGGATGGAGGAGGGGAGCCGTGGGGATGGAGGAGGGCAGCCGTGGGGATGGAGGAGGGGCAGCCGTGGGGATGGAGGAGGGCAGCCGTGGGCAGCCGTGGGGATGGAGGAGGGGAGCCGTGGGGATGGAGGAGGGCAGCCGTGGGCAGCCGTGGGGATGGAGGAGGGCAGCCGTGGGGATGGAGGAGGGCAGCCGTGGGCAGCGGGGATGGAGGAGGGCAGCCCTGGGGATGGAGGAGGGCAGCCGTGGGCAGCGGGGATGGAGGAGGGCAGCCGTGGGGATGGAGGAGGGCAGCCGTGGGGATGGAGGAGGGGCAGCTGTGGGGATGGAGGAGGGCAGCGGGGATGGAGGAGGGGCAGCCGTGGGGATGGAGGAGGGCAGCAGTGGGCAGCCGTGGGGATGGAGGAGGGCAGCCGTGGGGATGGAGGAGGGGAGCCGTGGGGATGGAGGAGGGCAGCCGTGGGGATGGAGGAGGGGCAGCCGTGGGGATGGAGGAGGGCAGCCGTGGGGATGGAGGAGGGCAGCCGTGGGGATGGAGGAGGGGAGCCGTGGGGATGGAGGAGGGCAGCCGTGGGGATGGAGGAGGGGCAGCCGTGGGGATGGAGGAGGGGAGCCGTGGGGATGGAGGAGGGCAGCCGTGGGGATGGAGGAGGGGCAGCCGTGGGGATGGAGGAGGGCAGCCGTGGGGATGGAGGAGGGCAGCCGTGGGGATGGAGGAGGGGAGCCGTGGGGATGGAGGAGGGCAGCCGTGGGGATGGAGGAGGGGCAGCCGTGGGGATGGAGGAGGGCAGCCGTGGGGATGGAGGAGGGCAGCCGTGGGCAGCAGTGGGGATGGAGGAGGGCAGCAGTGGGGATGGAGGAGGGGAGCAGTGGGGATGGAGGAGGGCAGCCGTGGGGATGGAGGAGGGGCAGCCGTGGGCAGCATGGGAAGGGCAGGGCAGCAGCAGGGGAGGGGGTGCAGAGGAGCCTGTTGCTGGCAGCAGTAGTCCCGAACCGCAGCAGCTGGTGGTCCCGCGGGGTTGAACCGCTCCGGATCACTAGGGGTGACTCGCTCTCCAACAATCACAGAAGACCCTGTCGCCCTGGCTAAGGGTCAACTCCGTTCACTTGGCTGTTTGCTTTCCTCGCTTCGCCGTCTGCTCTCTTCATGTTCTGCCTCCAGGATGGCTCTGTGGGGCTTTCTGGGGCCCTTGGCCCCCTGAGCATACAGACGCTCCTTGATGGGCAAAGTGTGGGGAGGGGAGTCAGGAGTTCTGTATCTTACTCCTCCGTGTGGCAAAGCCAGGCGTGGAAGCTGTTGGTACAGGCGCCTGTGGCCCGGCCGCCTGTGCATCAGGCTGTTGAAAAGTCAACTTGGCTCAGTGTGACTCCATGCCTGAGCTTCTCGTCGGCCTTGTGGAAGGTGGCCCAGGCTCTGACGCGGCCATTCCCCCACGCCAGTCCACAAGTAACCTGGGGAGACCCCAGGCGGGCTCCGGACAGCCCCACAGGGAGCCGCCTCCATCCTGGCAAAGCCGTGTGCCTGAAGCACGCGCCCAGTGCTGCTCCCAGAATGGAACCCCGGAGTCTGTCCCTGTGAGACAGACGCAGTCCCCCCGGCTTTCCTCTCCCCAGACCTGTGTGGCCTCAGTGCCCCAGAGAGTGGTTCCCCCATTTTTACCAACTGCTTCACCTCCCATGAGACAACTCAGACAACACCCAAGGCCCACAGACAACTCAGACAACACCCAAGGCCCACAGACAACTCAGACAACACCCAAGGCCCACAGACAACTCAGACAACACCCAAGGCCCACAGATAACTCAGACAACACCCAAGGCCCACAGACAACTCAGACAACACAACACCCAAGGCCCACGAGACAACTCAGACAACACCCAAGGCCCACAGACAACTCAGACAACACCCAAGGCCCACAGGCAACTCAGACAACACCCAAGGCCCACAGACAACTCAGACA